TCCCCAGTGTGGGTTCTTTCATGTATTTGACAAGAACTGTGCCTGTTGAAAGCTTTCCCACATTGCTTACATACATAGGGTTTCTCCCCAGTGTGAGTTCGTTCATGTCTTTGACAATGACTCTGTATGCTGAAAGCTTTCCCACATTGCTTGCATACATAGGGTTTTCCAACAATGTGAATACTTACATGATTACCAAATGAAGTGTTATTATTTATGGATTTCCAAGAGTGTTCATAGGATTTTGTTCCAGTGTGAGCACTTTGTTTCTGAATATCATAGTGATAATTCAAATCTTTTCCATGTTGTATACATATATAGGTATTCATGCTACTATGATTTCTTTCCTGGATTTGAACATAGTTGGGTGTACTGAAGGCTCTCACATCTTGCTTACATTCAAAGAATTTCTCTTCAGTGTTACTTCCTTCAGTGCAATCAGAGCAGGATCTTCCACACTGCTTATATCCATATGTTTTTTCTTCAGGATTTGTCTTTGCATGTTTCTGAATGGACTGAAAGTCAGTGGAGGTTTTCTCATGTCTGTTACAATTAGACAGCTTCTGTTCAAATCCATGGAGCTTATATGATTTGAGTCCACCATTATGTATGATGGGCATGGTTGGTGATGAATGACCAATCAGAGGCTTTCCACATGCAAGGCTTTCACCTTTTATACCAAGCAGTTTCAAGTGCACAGTTATACTGGAAGTCATAAAAACTTTTTCTCCATATTGATACCATAATTTATATTGAGAGCATTTATCTACCTCTGCACTTCTGTCAAAGAAAAAAAAAAACAAAACCAAAATAACTAGTCACATTTAAAAGTGTCTTTATATTAATGGTTTATCAGGAGATCTGATTTGATGGCCCCTAAGCATATATGATCATGAATCTACTGTACATTCTGGATTATGCCTTGGAAACAGCTTTTACCGAAACAGTATTTGGGAGTTTGGAAGTGATATATTAGCAGTATATACTAGTTACTTTCATTTTGAACAATTGGTACATATGTATACCATATGTTATTTTTCATACCTTTTTCCTTCATGACTGTACCCCTCCCCCTGACACTGAGCCTCTTCACCCTCTCCAAAATGTCTGCCTCTCTCTTTTCTACCATCTCTGCTTTATTTTACTTAATTCATATTTTGCATCTCATATAAAATACAACATGTGGTATTAAATATTCTGTGTTTATCTTATTTAACATAATTTGGGTTGCAGATCCATGCATTTATTGGCAAACGACATTTTATTCTCCTTTATGGCTGAATACCATTCCATTATATATACACACCTCATAATTTTCAGTGCTGGAGACTGAACCCAGGGTTTTAACACTGAGCTAGCTACATTCTCAAGAGTTCTTTATCTTTTTAGTATGAGGTTGAGTCTTGTCAATCACTATGTTATGCAGGCTGAGCATGAATGTGCCTCAGCTTCTCAGTATACTCCATCCTGCTTGGGCTATACCATTTTTCCTTTCTACTCATCTCTGAATGGGCATCTAGGATGTTTTTCAGAGCTTTACTTTTGTAAGTTTTACTCTTACAAACATAAGTATGCATGAATTAGTATAATACAATTACTTTAACTTTGGGGGAATACACCCAGTAGAAGTACAGCTGGATAAAATGAAATTTCTATTTTTACTTTTTTGAGGGACTTCTATATACATTTCCATAGATGTTATAATACAATGACATTCCCACCAACGTTACGGGTTGGTGTCTTCTAATACTGTACTTCAGAACATAAATGGACTAAATGCTTTTGAAGATTTCTTGAAAATAGCTATTATCAAAACAGGGGTACTCATCTGGATTTGGAATAGTTCCTCAAAGTTATCAATGTTGCAAATATTGAATGTGTATACCACATTTAAAAACATACAGCATTAATTATATAATTTGATAAGAAAGCAGTCTTTTGAAAATATACGTACATGTCATTAGGTATTCTGCACTTGACTCTCATCTAAACACAAAATTTTTAATATATACCTATAATGCCTAGCCAGGGATTTAGCTCAGTGGTTCCGCTGCTTACCTCTCAAGTGCAAGGTCCCCAGTTCAATCCCCAGTACCAAAAAAAAAAATGCCTAAAACAATTTTATATGACAGTTTCATAATTTTGAGCTTTGAAAATAATTTATTATTATACATTAGATAATGTCACTTGTGGCATAATGTCAATACAAACATTTCAGATATTGAAATATTTCAAATATTCAATTTTCAGATTCTAGACACTAAACATATATGCCTCTTTGGAGAAATTTTGTGCAATTAAAGAAATCTGAACATGGCCTCATTTTGTTTGTTTGTTTTTTTGATTTTTAAGACAAGGTCTGCCTACATAGTTCAGCCCAGCCATGTACTTACTGTAGCACAGGCTGGCCTCAAACTCCTGGCAATCCTCCTGCATCAGATGTCCAAGTGCTGGTATTATAGGCATGGCCACCATGCCTGGCTCTCTGTATTTTTTTTTTTTTTAACATGGCCTCATTCATGCAGTCTGCTTGGTTTTAACATTTCTGACCTTTGGGAAACAGTGTTGTGAGTGAAAATCACCTTAAATTTTTCCTGTAAGTTTTGTACTCATCTTCAATTTGCTGGTCATCCCAGTTTCTTCCTAAAGTATAGAAAAAGAAATGTAATGAGTTACTACATTATAGAAAAAGTATTAGCTTTCAGTTAGATTCATGATATAATGTGACCATTCCCAGAAGATTTATGAAAATATTTCCATATTCCAATGAAGTAAATTGTACTGATGAGCAATAACCAATGCTCTCTGCATAAATGAGAACTGATTTCTTCCTTACCTATAGCAGCCACATTCCTAAAGTTTTCCCACATCACATCTCTGTGGAGCTTCTTCTGGGATGGATCCAGCAAAGCCCACTCCTCTGTAGTGAAGTTCACAGCCACATCCTCAAAGGTCACTGCCTTCTAAATCATCAGAAATATATTTCCAGGAAGAACAGTGAGAATCACAATATGAAATATTTCAAATCTACTCAAAAAACCAAAATTAAGCTGAGTCCCACAAGTGGTTACTTCATGCCTTGGTCATCAAACACTTAATTTTCATCCACATGCATTTGTGACACAGAAATTTTGATGCTAGATGTGAATTCACTGCTAATGAAACAGCAGAATGAGAATACTGGTTCACCTGCTGGCTAACCCATTTTATTTCCACACTATCTGCAAAGCATGGTTTGTGGAGAGAGCCTACTCAATCAGACATAGGGTAAAAAGAACTGAGGTAGATGAATATCTAATGACTTGCTCTGATAGAACACAGAAAACATATCTGTTTTCAAATTATTATTTAGGAAATAGATTCCTTCCTCTTCTGATCGTATTTAGACAGCATTAGGAAACTTGAAACTGGTTTCATAGACAAAACTGTAATGAAATACAAAGTGAAATTCATGAATGGTAATTTAAAATGGTAATGAAAAGTATTACAGTATTCACTGGAGAATGTCTAACAATGAAATTAGATTAAAGACATTATCATATAGCTCAATGACATGAAATACTTTCCTGTCATAGAGATATAAAATTTTCAAATGTGTAATAGTGTAACAAGAGAATGGATCGATCAACTGAATGCCATGCCCTCAGCCACAGGATAGGGCTACACACCCAGCCCACAGAGGATCATAGGACTGAGTGTCTACTCCAGCCCATATGCCCAGCCCAGAGAGAGCCCCAAAACAGACCAGTCAGTCTGAAATTAAGGACACATGGTAAATTACATAGAAGTACTCAAAGAGACCAAAGGAAAGGGAAGAAAGATCATCTAGCAGCTACTAGACAACACTAAAAAGACCAACCTAAGGCTAATTGGAGTTACAGAAAAACCAGAAGATAACATAGATGAAATTATTAATGTGTTTACAGAAATCATAGAAAAATCCCCAAATATGAGAAAAAGTTAAAAACAGAAGTAAATGAGGCTTAGAGAACACCAGAAAACTACGATAAAAAAAGGGGCTCACCAAGGCATATCCTTATTACTGCCAAATATCCAATAACAAGAACAAAAATTTAAAACAGAGAAAATCCCAAAATCACCTATAAAGGTAAACCAATTAGTATTACAACAGACATCTTAACACAAACCTTAAAGGCCAGAAGTACTTGAAGTGATGTGTTTCAAGCCCTAAGAGTGAATAACTTCCAACCTAGTTTAACTTACCCAGCAAAGCTCTTTTTCATTATCGATGGAGAAATAAGGACATTTCATGAAAAAGTCCAGCTCAAGAGACATATGAATGCTAAACCAGCATTTCAGAAAATACTCAAGAATAACCTAGATAGAAACACTGAAGCCAATACAAACATTCCTCATTTAATGACTTGTTTTAATGACTGCATTCACAACTGAGGCATGTTTTTTCTGACTTATGACTTACCTTCTTTTCGTATAGTTCTGCACATACTGACAGAGCCTCAATGTCTTTCTCTGTACAGTACATCTTGTTTATGCAGTACTCTAATTTTGCTGATTATACTGTATAGCACAGTAATGTATTTTATGTTGTTATATATAATAGTACTGCAAAGAAGAGTTATGCAAATAAAAGCAACGTGAGCAAGTTGGACTTTTCTTTGATCATTTCTTTGTCCTGAATATTGTAAAGTGTATACTGTATACAATTCCTCCTTTAGCACACCACTCATTTAGAGACCTAATCACAGGAACAGGACTCAGGCATTAAATGAAAAATGCACATGGCCTATTGTACTTTAGGTACATTCATTAAGCATGTTGTTCAGATAAGCACAGCATTATTGAAAAGACAAATGTCTCCAGATTATGCATTATTTCTAAAATGTCTAATGCTTAGGACAAATAAGCTACCTTATACATTTTGTATACTGAGACCAAAAAAAAGGCAACCTCAAAAAACATATGGTTTCCTTGTTTTGAGGCAGAAGGCAGTGAATTGGAGCACAGCTTTATAAGACCTATTGATCACACATGATACAGGCAAAACAGCTGTGACAAAGGGCCAGAAAAATTTCAGTGCACTCTTTCTATTGGGCTTAATTCTAAAGAGTATTTGCTTCCAACAGTTGCTCAGTGGATAATAAAGCTGATTCATTTGGAGTTATATAAATTCTCAGATATAAACAAACTCTTTAGAAGTGATGTTACCTCTGCAACTTTCTGGTATGTAGAAATGCCTCATATCGTATGGGTGTACATATTATCTCAAGGGTTATATATACACTTCTGAATCACAGGAAACAATTGAAAAATTAATTATCACTGCTATTCTTGGCTCTATGATCGTATTATGTGGGGTTTTTGTTTGTTTTTTAAGACAGGGTTGCTTTGTGTAATTCAGGTTAGCCCTGAATTCACTATGTAGCCCAGGCTGGCCTTGTACTCCTGGAGGAGATCCCTCCTTTCTCAGCCTCTCAACTGCTGGGATTACAGGCAGATACCACCAGGTCTGGTGGTTTTATGTGCTTAATTATTGTCTTACATCCTTGGCTAGTAAGCTCCTTTATATGTCTTATATATAGATAGATATAAGAATATATATATTATATATATTATACTTATATGTCTTTCTGTTCTCCAAGGTGTTCACTGCAGAAGTGGACAGAACAGTAGCTCCATTAGCACCAGTTTCACTGTCAAAGATACTTGCATTTACAGTGAGTTTTATTGAGTCAAGCAGGTTCATGGTTTTGTCATATCTTGTTAGTAATATTTTAATTTCATTGGTCTCTTGCAATGATCCGCAGAAGCTCCTTTATTAATGAGCCAAAATTGCATTTTAAGACACAGCTTTTTTAAAATTAGTACAGGTTTGCCATACAAAATGATCACATTCATCATGTGGAATTTGTACCTGTACATAACACATCTCAATTTTTTTTTTCCCATTCCCTTCCACTTCCTTCAACCTTCTTCCCCTTTGCATTTACAAAAGCTTTGTTTCCATTTTTTCTTCCATTCTTTTTTTAAACCCCTTTTCCTATCCTTCCCTCCTCCTCCCTTATTCCTCTTCCCATCTCAACAAGTTTTTCCCACTACCCAGTATCTGTTCTCCAGTTTGCTCCTTACTTATCCTTTGGGTTTCTCATAGGAGAGAAACAATGCAATATTTAAATTTGTGTATCTGATTTATTTCATTTAAAATTATGGTCTCGAGATGCATGTATTTGCCTAAAAAATGTCTAAAGTTTATCCTTTTTTATGGGAGAATAGTAATCCACTGTATATAAGTACCACATTTTATTTATCCATTCATCTGTTGATGGGCAATTCAGCCAGCCAAAGAACTTGTGTGTAGGCAATGACAGGACACAGTGAAACCTAAGGGAAGGTAGAAAATTGAATGAGGCACTTTGCTTCATAGCACAGACTATAATACTTTATAAGTTTACTTATTTTTAGCAAAGAAAAACATGCTGTGAAGGGAATATAATCATTTCATAAACAAAGAAACTGGAGTAATATGACAGTAGTATGCAAATAAATTAATACAAAAGGGAAGGAAATATTGAAGTGTCTCAGATAGGCAATGTACTTCATTCAAGGTCACAAAGGAAAATTACATTATGAAGACTACTAATATTTCTAAGCACGAGTGCCAGAATGACCCACAGGCAATCACTTTATTGTGAAGCAAAAACATTGCACCTTTTGTGTAGTTCACAGTCCTCTCCTCACATGTTGAAAATGTCTCCTTCAACACATTAATTACACCACACGAATGATCAGACCTGGAGTCATCTGATGGTTAGCCTCAATGGTCAACCTGACTGCTTTTAGAGATGCCTGTCATATTTGTAAAGCGTATGTCTGTGTGGGTCTGAATCATGCATAAAGGCAGGGCTTTACTATCTGTTCTGTGGCTCCTTCCACTCAAGACTTTCTCTGCCCTCTGTTTCATGCCCATCAAGAAGTGGGCAGCTATCATTTTCCATTTTATTCTATCATGATACTTGTTTTGAGCCTGGAGAAATTGGACTAATACTCTTACAAAAATGACCTAATAGGCTGGGGATTTAGCTCAGTGGTACAGATGCCTGCCTCCCAAGCACAAGGCCCTGAGTTCAATCCCCAGTACGAAAAAAAAATGACCTAATATAATGCCTTTCCTCTTCAGTTGTGCACATGATACATATTGTCTAATCAACAAAAACAATACAATTAACTTGCTTCATTGTCTGACCTAAAAAAACTATCTAAATGAGTCTCTAACATTCCCTTCTCACATATTCTTTGTATGTACAAATTCTTGTCTGATAACAGCAATACTTTTATGTAAAAACAAGCATTTTCCAGAAAAAGCCTCATGGAAATCAGTTAAACTTCAGAAAGCAGAGCCTACCAAAACCATGTACACATGAGATACCTTCTTTTCAGCAGTCTGAAGGTTGTTACATTTACAGATCTTCTAGAGTTTTCAATCCACGTAGATGCAGGGGGTAGGGGGCTGTAATGGAAGGGAATTCTTCAGGACAAAATGTACTGAGGACAGCTACAGTGCCATTTGCTTTTTAACAGGGTCTCAGTGTAAAGTCACTCACCTTTAAATTCCTGCTGGCAAGTTCATGTTATTTGTCTACTTCTCAGCAACATTGATAAGTTAAGTGAGACAAAGGTACTCAATCCAAATCTTTCAGCACTAAGCAAGAATCTTCTTAGTCCTAACCCTGATTTTCATGAGACAAAATGTGCAGATCAAATAATCAAAATAGAATTATCCTTTTTTCCCTGTGCATTGGTGGTTACCTCACCATTGTACTTGAATACTGCTCTGTGCCTAGAATTTACATGTTTTGTTTACCTTCTGAAAATCATCTCTTCATACAACTCCACTGACTAAGTTGTCTTTTTTTTTTTGGTACCGGGGATAGAACTCGGGTCACCACTGAGCTAAGTCCTCGGCCCTAGGTTGTCTTTTTTTGTAACAGCAGAGCATAACATTAATTTTGTCATAAAGTGCAATAAACATAAGAGTATTACACCCACATTTATTCTTCAGAATATTTCTATTGATGAAATATCAATTTTAATTTTATGAGTTTTATTTTATTAAACAATGAGTAACAGGAAAAATATTTAAAAATAAACTTTTGAATTTTTAATATTTATTGTTTATAGAAAAGCAGCAAAATTTTCAACATCAACTGTTTTTTGGGTTACAATGCCTAAAAATTAACAACAGAAATAAATTCCTATATGAGCTACAATGCAAATACTAATAGAACTCTAAAAAAATCTTTAATTATCACACCTATCTTCACACATAACAACAGCATGATCCACACACACATGTATTGCTATCGACTGCACATGTGCTTTGTTTTCCTTTCCTATGTTGCAAGCTATTCCTGTCATCTCTCTTCTCTTCCTATTTTGTCAAGAGCTTCCCACTATGTTGTACAACACATACTTAGCAGGGAAATAAGATATAAATAAAATAAAATATGAAATGTATGAATACTTAGAATAGACAGCAACATTTTTACATCAGCTGTGTACTTGCTTATAAAACCTAAGAGAACATCCAAAGTCAAAACCTATATGAACTAAAATGAAACTATTAATAGTACTGTACAACAAAAATAATCTTTGCTTCAACTGTCACAACCAAGACAGTCTTCACATGACAACTTCATGTTCCAAGCACATGTCTTGCTTATACTGACAGCAGATGTGCTTACTTTCCTATGTGGTAGGGCATTCTTGTCACCTCTTTTCTCTTCCTGTTTCGACAGGAGCTTCCTCTGTTGTAAATGATCTCTGATCTTCCTCTGTTGTAAATTTCTTATGAGAAATTTAAGAACTCTAAGAAAATTTCTCCATGGTATTTTGTACTTGTTATTTTCTTTGTAAACTGTCAAACTATTTATGTCACACACACACAAAACCTTCCCTTTATAAATTCATCTCCCAATGGGATTACAGGTGTTTCTATGAAGCTTTAAGATACAGATTAAGATGAGATTTGTATATGCACCAATTCCTCATGATGAATATATGTTATGTATATAAAATATATACAAATGCAACCATTATACTAAAAAAAAAAAAAGATATGCTCAGCTAAGAAGGTCTCCCATACCCAATTTAAAAAAAGGAGTAGGAGAGCCAGGCATGGTGGTAAATACCTGTAATCTCAGCATTTGGCAGGAGAATTCATGAGTTCAAGATCAGCTTGGGCAACAGAGTAAGACTCTGTTTAGAAATACATACACACACACACACACATATATATATACACACAAACACACACATACACACACACACATACACACACACACACACACACACACGCAGGAAATCTCTGCAGAAATGTTATCAAGTTAGTATGATCTTTACCTGAACATGGGCAACATGGTTACAAAAGACTATAACACCTATGTATACAGATTTTTCTTAGCAAGATAAAACATGAACTAGTATATCACATGAGTTTGTTAGAAAATAGCTTCTCATCTTGGCAAGAAGCTAAATGATAGCATTGTCCCTAGCATATGTGATGCCCTAGTTGCAATCTGAAGTACTACATACACACAGACACACACACAGTCATACAATCACACATATACATGCATGCACACTCACTCAGCCAAAATATAATTAAGTGATATTTGTATATTTTATCAAATGTTAGGATAGTTCAGCAATAGAAACATAAATCAACCAAGAAAAACCTCATGTAATTATTTGAATCTTGCCATAAACATGTTTTCTAAATCTCAATTTCTATTAATTATTCATTAAATGTCTATAATAAAAAGCTGAGAGGGATTAGTAAATAGACAAAGTACATATACCATGAAACTAATATATGGGACTCTAAATAGAGACACGCTACATGAATTCTTTTAGGATCAGAAATTAGTCAAGGACATTCACTGTCCCCACTGTTCTGTCACATGAGACCAAAATTCATGTGTCATGAGGATTGAAATGGAAGAGGCCAAATCATTATCCACAGATGATGAAAGGATCAAGATGTAACATGACAAGAAGATCTGTCTTGTCAGAGATTAACTGAAAAATATTATAGTCTTTCTCATAGTTTTAATACTAAAACTGCATGAATGCAAAAAAGCCAAAGATTTGGAATAAAAAAAAAACATAAGGAATAGCTCTCAAATCTTTTTTGTAAATTAAGGTTAGTATTCACATAGTAACTACAGAGAAACAAATAGTCTTTGGTTTGTTTAAGGTTGAGACATACTAGAAGTTTAAAGAATGATTTGTTGGGCCAGGGATTTAGCTCAGTGGTTCCGCTGCCTGCCTTGCATGCATAAGGTCCCGAGTTTGATCCCCAGTACCAAAAAAAAAAAAAAAAAAAAAAAGAAAAGAAAATAAAAGAATGATCTGTTATTTTTTCTCTTTTGTTTCTTTCTGTACCGGGAATCAAATTCAGGGCCTTATGATTGCCAGGCAGATGCCATGCTGCTGAGCTATATCACCGGCCCTGTTATTAATAGAATCAAAAGTGAAAAAAATGTACTCATGTGAATACCATGAACATTTTAGGGAAGAAATTATGTTTAAAAACACACATTATTAGAAGACTGAACTTTTATCAATTTTTCCATAAACTTCTAATGTCAGCTTTAAAAGGAATTATCACCGGGGATATGGCTCAGTGATTCCAGTGCCTGCCTTGCAAGCACAAGGTAATGAGTTTGATCCCCAGTACCAAAAAAAAAAAGAGAAAGAAAAGGAATTATCAGACAGACCATTCTGCTACTTGTCTCAATCTATGCCAATATTTTGCTTTATATAAGAAAATTCTCACATATCAATGTAAAGACTATCAACATTGAGAAATACTCATACACTTCCAAGAATTTATATATCTACCTTTATAAAATATTATCAACATATTCTTTAAAAATCAGCCATATACTCATAGAGAGAAATACTATGCACAGATAAAATCTGACAGCCAGGCAGTTGGGTAGGTTGAGGCAGAAGAAAACCACAAGTTCTTTCTCTTTCTGGGTGTTTTTTTGGAGACAGTGTCTTTGTACATAGTTCAGACTGGTGTTAAACTCACTATGTACCCAGGCTGGCCTCCAACTCAAGGCAATCCTTTTGCCTCAGCCTACCAAGTGTTGAGATTTCAAGGATACACCACCACGTTCAGCAAGGTCACCTGCACACATAGGGAATCACTGTTTTAAAAAAACCAAAAGGGCCAGGGATTTAGCTTAGTGGTTCTGCTGCCTGCCTCACAAGCGCCAGGACCAGAGTTCAATCCCTAGTACCAAAAAACAAACAAACAAAAAAACCAAAAGAAAAGGCCTGCCCAGAGAGGAGCTACATGGGCACAAGGGCTCCCACTGGAGGCCCACCATTCCACTGGTGTGTGCAGATCCCTGGGAGCAGCTGTGTGGCCCAGACTGGTGCAGCTCCAGGAGGATCCCAGCCAGGGCTCCACCCTGACCCCAGAGGCTCGGGCACACCCGCCCAATCCAAAGGCCCACCCAGAAAGGGGCTGCATAGTCACACAGGCTTCAGCCAGTGGCTCACATCAGCCAGAGCCAGGGAACTGCCTGGAGAAGAGCTGTACAGGCACACAAGCAATACCCAGAGGCTCCCCCCGATACCACTGATAAGTGTGAGGAGACCCTAGGCAAAACCTGTACAGACAACAGAAACTGGGGTGCACAGCACCCAACCAAAGGCCCTCCCAGACAATAGCTACACAGGGGCCCCAGCGAGAGGCACAACTAGATACTATCCCAAGTGTGCTCAGGTCCCAACCAGAAGCCCATCCAGACAACAGGTCAGCTTAGGGATCTAGAAGGCCACCACTATGAACCTACAAATTGGTGTACTGGTGAGCAGCACAGTAAAGGCTGTTCGGTGGCTTGCTGAGAATTGAAGACCACTGGGTGAGCAAAAAGTCACCTCAACAAAGACACAGCAGACTGCATCTGTTGAAATGAGAAGACATGTAAATAAGTGCCAAAACCAGACTTCCAGATCACTTAAGGAAACCCCAAAGGGCAATGAGATAGAACAATCTGATGATACTCAACAACCTGGACGACTCCCTGAATTGGCAACGAAAACGGACCTAGAAAAAATATTAGAAATAATTTCTCAGATAACAGCAAAGATTGTGCCCATAGTGCAAGACATGATTAATAAATCTAGAGCAGACACAGATAAAAAAACAGAGGAACTGAGGAATATGATGGAATCCCAAAATAGGAAACAAATGGAATCCATAAAACAGATCGAAACAGATTTCCAGGAGATTAAAAACTCCACTGAAAGTTTATGCAGCAGAATGAGCCAATGCAAGGACAGAATATCAGATATAAAAGATAAGACTGCAATTAGTGACCAGGAAAAGAAAAATTTCTTTTTTAAAAAAATTA